CGTAGCTGGTGCAGGTGAAAAGATTGCATCTGAACATAGATGTAAGACAATAGAGCATGGCAGAAGTAATGGCCTTGGAGCTTCATAACTAGCATATGAATCTAGGTTTGTTGTCAAATTTCAAGCAGACTTTGTGACAGGTCACTTGTCTTCCATGAGCCTAAATGTCTTCATCTATAAAATGAAAATAAAACTGTTTGCCTTCTAAGATTGATAAAACGATTAAGTGAAGTATCCTACAAAAGATCGGGAATGTAGTAGATATTGAAATGTAGCCACCTTGTATCTTAGACTATTGTTTTCTATTGCTACAATAAAATGTAACAGGCTAGGTACATTATAAAGAAAAGAAGTTTATTCAACTTGTGATTCTAGAAGTTCAAGGTTGAGAGGTTGCATCTGGTAAAGGCCTTCTTGCTGGTAGGGACTGTGAAGAGTTTGGAGATATAATAATACAGTACACAGCGAGGAAGAACAAGCAGTGTCTCCCTTCCTCCTCTTGTAGAGCCACTAATGCAGTGGTGATGTTCCACCCTTGTGACTTCATCTGATCTGAATTACATCCTGAAGATGCCACCTCTAAATACCAGTAGCATATAACTTTGCAAATTAAATATGAATTCCAAAAGTACACCCAAAATTTAACAGGTAGAAAAGACAAGTACATAAGGCCCCAAAGCTATCCCATATTACCTTTATCAGTGTTTTATTGCTGATGTTGTTGCTGTTGCTTATTTATTGTAATAAAGAAATGGACATATATTGATTTATATGTGAACAAACAAAAATTAAGCTAACATACCATGGAGTAAGTAGTCTGCCACTTTCTGACCCCCTCCTCTGTGAACAGGGGAATTTGTCATGACTGTAACTCACCAATGGGCGTGAGATGAAGGAGAAATCAAGACTGGGCTGCCCTGACAGATCAGAACTGATGCCCCAGACGCCAGTGTGTGTGTGAGAATACATATATTTGACCAAAGAATTATGATTTGAACATTGACTTTTATTTCTTACTATAGTCATATTTAGACATGAGTAAAAGTATTTCTCATTTTACAACTTTAAAAAACCAAAAGGTTAATTTTTTTTTACAACAAGATGCTGTATTCAAGAATCAGTCACACCTGAGTCAAAGCCTCCTCCAAGTTTCTAGATAAGTGATATTGGACCAAGCTCTCCAGACTTCCCAAACCTGTTTTCCTCATCTGCAAAATGACCACAATAAAAACTACCTCATTGTTTGGTTGTAAATAATAGATGTAATTATATATGTATAGCACTTGATGATAATAACATTTATATAACATTTACTATGTGCAAGTCACTGGCCTGAGCTTGAATTGTGTTTATTTAACTTGGTATGGTGTTCACAAAAACTTTGTGCTATAAATTCTCTTATTGTCCTCATTTTCCTGGTGAGGAAATTGAGACGGAAGATGTTATGTAAGTTGTGGAAATTCAGCAGACCAACAGGTGTTGACTCTGAATTCAAAAACAGAAGACTGTACTAGGAACTATTTTGGAATACCTGCCCCCCTGACTAAATAATACATATTCAATATTTAGGTTTCCCTGAGGGAATAATTATCCTTTTTAAAAGTTGCAACTTTTTGTTTTCATTTGAAGAAAACGGTTCAAAAACTAAATCAAGCGTGGGGATGGTCTCACAAAATTATACTAATGATAAACTTAAGAGTTACATTTTTAAAGACCAATCACTATGTGGTAGAAATATGTAGCTCGTTTTCATATTGACAACACTACTCATACTGTTCACAAGTAAGCTGAGACACACATATCAAAATTAACAGAGCAGCAGGGGTATCTTACAGAATAAAGAATGCTTCTGGATTTTATAGAAAACAATATATAATGTCTTGTAGACATTTTACAATGAAAACGTACCTTTAATGAAATCGAACATCATTTGAAATCTTTTTTCCTAAGTTTCATAACATTTTTTCTAATCTTAATATGTGGGAAAAATAATCATAGTACATGAGAAATATCAGCATCTAAAAAGATTTGCCATCTTCTCTTAAACATATGATATATTTTACCCATACTTTTCATCAATCAGTGTGCGCTGGGCACTCACAAGCCTGGGTGGGTGCTAGAAGACACCCACAGAAAAGCACATCTCAGAGAACGCAGGCTAATTACAGTCCTGTTAGTGATATTTCCAGGAGAGAGATTTGATAGCTGAACCGGAAACAGGTGAAGAAAGTAGGAGGAGGAGGAAGAGGACACCGCCCTGGGCAAGGATTGTGGGACAAGGGCTGAAGGGTGGAGGGCGAGGTATGCTGTGATTGATAGTGCTTCCTCAGCATTAATGAGGGGCTATGGGAAAGACATGCAGCACAGATCACATCATATACAGTGCCCTGGAATTTACAGAATTTAAAAATCTTAATCATAAGAATGACTCAACATGATCAGATCTAAGTCTTTAGAAATTTTTCTAGTTCAAGCAGGGAAACTGAATTGAAGAAATTTAAGGGCAAAGGAACCCAGGAGCTATCACAGAATATTGTGTTTGAATGATGAAAGGGTACTGATGTCTAAGTTCCAGGCATTCGTATGTACTAAAACAATAGTTCTCACACTTTTCTCTATCTCGCATGTATGGTTTATTGATACTTCAGAAGTGATTTGTTAAGACTAATGCTATTACTCCATGACAGGCCCTAAGATAAGGCTTTATATGTGTTGCCTCATTCTTACTTAGCTAATAAGGAATCCGGGGACACAGAGAGATGAAGCAAGTTCCCTCAAGGCAACCCACTGGTCAATCTTTAAATTTCACCCACAGACCCCAAACTGCTTCCTGTTCTTTAGGCGCTCTTTCCTGACTCTTTGTTCTGTATCTTAATCAGTCCTCCTGTCCTTGTCTTAGAAGAAAAACGTATTTTACCTTCTGATCATTCCAGCTACTACCAGGTCCATTTCCAGGAAATGATGGCCGTGACTCCAAAACAAAATCCATCTTCTCGCCAGTTGTTTTCTCCTAAAACTTGAGCCTTTGGTTTCTCTGCCTTCTAAATATACTCATATTAATTATTATCCTGGCAAATTTGAAACATTTTGCCAAACTTTTTTTCCTTTGTGTTCCACAAAGCACTCCACATCCCTAAACACTTCTTTCTTTTTCAACTTTTTCTCCCTGTAAGTACTGCAAAGCTGTTCTTCAAACATCTTTCCTTGTTTGTCCAGTAATTATTTTTCTGTCCTTTCGGCCTGTTCCTTCCTAGTGAAGGAACTGTTCCTTTTCTTCCTCTGTTTACTGTCCATGCCATTAGTGCTAACTTTCCATTTATTTTTCTCTCTTTTTTTATTACTTTTTGGCTATACTCTTCTTCAATATGATCCCTCCAGTGTGGCCACTGGTAGGTTTCCCATGCTGCAGTGAATGGCCCCACATGCATGCACATACTGTGCTTATCAAAAATTAATAAGTAAAGATATGCAGTGGTAGGTAGCAAGATATGTTGGGCATGAAATATGGGAAAAGTTGGAGGGAGTAATTGGGGGGGTAGGTATGATTATATTACATTTCATATGGGTATGTATACCCATATGAAATTCTCAAAAATAAAGAAAAATATAAAAATATGATCCCTAGGGGCTGGAGAGATGGCTCAGCAGTTAAGAACTCTGGCTTTTCTCGCAGAAAACCTGGGTTCAAATCCCAGCACCCATGTGGCAGCTAACAACTGCCCGCAACTCCAGTTCCAAGGACTCCGATAACCTCTTCTGTCCTCTGCAGGCGTTGTACAACACGGGTGCACTTACCTCATGCAGGCAATACACGCATACACATAAAATAAAAATAAATAAAATATTAAAAAATGATCCCTCTACATACTCTTCAGAGTACAATTTTAATGATCTTGACAGACTATAGATGTCTTTGTATCTTTTTTATGTTTTCACAACCTCATCTCAAGCCAACTTTGAAACTTGCTTCAGTGGTTTAACAGCAGTCATGTATTTTCTACAGCCTTGCCAAACATCTCTTCCCTGAAGAACCGGTCACGTTCTCCAACGTTTCCTTCTACAAGCACATGAAGTACACAAAGGATTCATTGTGCTGTTAATCTAAGGCTTCCCCCAAACGCCCTTCTCCCCGGGATGCTCAGATTTCTTTGTTCATGAAAATAAAAGCCAATGGATTAAACTGAGGGAATATGTGAATGTGCCTAAAGTCTCCTTTAGTTAATTAGTAGGTGGGTACTCTGGCATTCAGTGAGGGCTGGAGATCCTAAAGGGCAGGGGACTTCCGTCCCAAGTCTGGAAGCTGAGCCACCGAGGCCGGGGAGATTCAGTGAGTAAGCGTTCCAACAAAGCCACAATACGTCAGGCTACTAGGGAAGCTGGCAGTCAGTCCTGTGCAAACTTCAAGATGATACACAATTGACAGGGCTCTGAAACACAAGCACCAACAGATTCTTAAATGTCCAGCGCTGAAATATGATTCAGGGTTTTCGAGACAGAGCAAAATTCAGCTCTCATCTCCAGTATTTGTACAAAACACCAGTAATTAGTGTTATCTTTGCTCACCCCCATCAAACTCCAGTATTGCATTATGAAATAGGAGCTCAGGCAAAAACTTTGAGACAAATAAAAGCAATATCCCTAAAGGTTTGTTGTTGTTCCTCCGCTTGTTGGTAGTGTGTATGTGTGAGAGCAGGCAAAGGAATCCAACTCTCCAAGCCTCTCCTCTGCTCCCCTATCTTATTAGCCTTTATAGAACTGCAGCAAAGTTTTGGTTTTGGTTTTGTTTTTTTAGAAAGTTTTTCTTTCTTTCTTTCTTCCTTTCTGCTTTTCCTGTCAGCTCAACAATCATGCCTCCGGAGAGGAGATTCCGATCCCCAATAGGCTGCAACTGCGAGCCTAGAAAGCCAAGATCAGATCGGGAAACTTGTCTACCATCCACTGGGGTGTGCTCGGGGGCAGGTGACACAGTGGCGGTTCCCTCGCGGCTGGCTTGACAGTTTCATCCCCGCCCACTGGCAGGAGAGCTCCCTGGGCCGCTGCACGCGCGCGCTGGGGGCCATAAAAGCAGCTGAGGAGCCGAGACGCGGAGCTCACCCACCCGGCCAAGCTGTGATCCAACCATGCACGTGAACGGCAAAGTGGCGTTGGTGACCGGCGCAGCTCAGGGCATAGGCAGAGCCTTCGCGGAGGCGCTGCTGCACCACGGCGCCAAGGTAAGTAAGTGCCGTGCGCGGCCGTGGGACCTCTCGGTCCACCCACTCGCAGGCTGGCCGCACAGCCAAGGGGCCCGCGGGAGCTGAGCTCCAGGCTCCTCAGCAGACCCTGAAGGCGGCTGGAACAGAACCAGAACTTGGATGAGCACCTTCTGAGGTCTAAGGAGGGAGCATCTTGTTTATTTATTGCTTGGGTATCTGTGGGTTTGGGTCAGGAGCTGCACAGGACCTCCGTTCCTCTCTTGTTTGTAGGTAGCCCTGGTGGATTGGAATCTTGAGGCAGGTGTAAAGTGTAAAGCTGCCCTAGACGAGCAGTTTGAACCTCAGAAGACTCTCTTCATCCAGTGTGATGTGGCTGATCAGGGACAATTGAGAGGTAAGACAGGAGGAATCAATCCATGGATTTGGGAATAGGCCCTGGAGCAAGAAACAACCTGAAGACCAGCTGCAAGGGAGGTGGCCAAAAGCCAAGGGCCAGCTTTGCTGTGGCCCAGCAGCGCAACCTTCCAACTCCGAAAGATAGCTTGGACTGTTATGTTTCCTCCTGACAACCCAATGACCATAAAAACTAAGGAAAGACAGGACTGCTTGAAAAAATCCTTTTATTTTGGTCATTTGGCAGCACATAATGTAATCAGAAGTCTTTTGTGTATCCAAGACAGTGCTGCTACAGTAATTATTAAATGATTGAAATTACAGAATCTTGGAACTTAAAACAGGCAGAGGAACTGTGGCAAAAAGTCTCAGAAAGCTGAAAGATCTAGAGTCCAACCACAGTCAAATGTGGCCTTGATCTTCTTTTAAACACATTTAAGTTCAAGGTTTATGGTCACAGGTGTGCCAGAGGTATTTGGCCACACATTTTCCCCTTGAAGATGGTACTTAAAATAATAACTCTGTGATGTTCGAAGTACAGAAGTGCTATTAGCCTTTCCCCAATGCTTTCCTGTTTCTCTGTGAGCTCTCAAAATAGACACATTATTTGTGAAATATTTGGGACAATATTGGCATAACAATACACTCTAGTTGCATAGAAGGCTCAAGAGATTTGCATGAAAAAGTTTTCCTTGGGGCAAAATAGGAAAATAAAATATTTGTATTTCACAAAGTTTTATTCAAAGGGAAGAAGTAAATTACTAGGCACATTTTAAGTTCAGAAGTCAGAAAACTTTCATCAAATTCATTGTAAAATTTTTGTTAAAGGGATTCTGAGGTCCTGTGTCTTAAATCATATTCTATGAGTAAAATATGTACTGGTGTGTTAGAAACAAATGAACCTAGATTTAAAAGAAATTGGATTAAAGAGGATGATGTCAGTAAAACCTGAAAATGCTGATAGAAGCAGATAATAGAGTTGGCAAGCAAGAGCAGCAAGGATCTGTAAGAACAGTCCTGGTAGAACATATTTTACCAGAGGATAATTTCTTGACAGTTCATGATATTTTGATTCAGAGACAGTCATGTTAAGCCCAGCATTCTTGCTGGTGGAATAGGGAACAGTATAGTCAGGTAACCCAAAAGCCATTTCTGTCTCAATTTATGTGGCCTCACATATGACATTTAACATAAATTGTTTTGCTTGTCAGTACTTAAAATTAGTGCCACAGCTGTAAACACATTCCTTAAGGATAAGTGATTGTGGAAGAAACTCAGACATATGATGACTGACCTGGGGAAAGCCTGTCAGTCATAAGAAGGCTAGGTGTTGTTTAGAGACCTGAATGTATCAATGGAGAACATACACTGATTCTTGCAACTTCAGAAATTAATATTGCCTGCAACTTTTAAAATTGCTTGGATATATTGAAGTTAATAACTACAGAGCTGAAAGGTTCTTAGAAACCATAGGCAAAAGTCATTTTACAAATGAACATACTGTAGCAGTTGTTAGGTAAATTATAAAGAGTATCACAGCATGTCAATGTCAGGAGGAGCTAAGCCTTTAAGTCACTGAGTCCAGAACTCAGTGAGCGACCAGAAAGCAGATGGCACATGACACCTCAGTAAAAGCAAAGCAGTGGAGACCAGAAGGAAACAAAAATCAGGCACACATATTTAATAGCTTAATTTCCCACAAAGTGGGGCTGTTCTTGCAGAACATAGGATGGAAGCCGGGGTTGAGGGGGGAAGAAAAATTAGTATTCCTTGGATGACCTTTTCTGGAACCAATTTGAGACTTAAGAAACAGTTTAAAAATTCTTTTAAAGAGCAAACAGTGTTTATTTTTTGTTGTTGTTTTCCAGTCCAGCACAGTGAGTATAAAAGGATGAATATGCGAAAACTCTACCAATGTGTTTAGCAACTAACTGGCATGGCAGTTTATCCACCTGAAAATGGAATAATCCTTGCCTTCTCAAATATATTTGATGGTTGCTAATGATTCTGTGAATTTATTTCAATCCAGATAAAGTTTATGTTGCTCTGCCTTTTTAAAGGAAAACTTGTGTTAACTTGAAGGTCTGAGGATGCATTTCTGTCCTGTGAAAAATACCCACAATTGTTATCTATAGTCTGAAGTAATAAAGTGGAATGAGTGATAGAGTGCCGGTGGAAACCACTTATACCAATAGAACTATATAAAAGGCCACTTGAAGAAATAGTGAGTTTCTCAAAAGTAAGGTGGGAAAGCAAAGTTCGAACTGGCTAAAAAGGTTTTACAAGAATTTGATATGTGGTTAGACAATGCAATGCGTGGGATTCAGGTCTTGGATATATGCATGCTTTTTCCTGGTTGAACATAGTTTTATACAAACTCATAATGTAAAGTAGTAATAATAACAAGAAGAAAAGATAAAATAACAAATATTAAAGTATGATAATCCTAATAAAATCAGCTAAATGAGAAGTAGACTTTTACTTATTGGGTTATCAAAGCATCCTGAAATTTGATCATAATGGATTTGAATTCATAATTACTTGGGTTAATGTAATATTTCATGAACATAATGTAGCTTATTAAAAAGGGATGTTTAAAGGACTAGGGACATAGTTCAGTGGGAGAGTACTTTCCTAACATGTGCAAGGTCCTGGATTTCATTGTCTACAAGCAAACATAAAAGATGTCTGTCATAGTCTCTTCCATAGAACTCCAGTAACATCTTAGGAAAAGAGATACTAGCTGCCCAAATGACTTCAAAGGAGCTCTTAATTTAGTATGCTCATTTCTCTAATATTTACTCCATCAAGTTATTGATTATAGAATTTAATGTGAATACATATCGTCTAACAACATTGAATAAGACTCAGATTCAGTAGCTACAAAATTGTGTACTTCTAACAGACACTTAGATAATACTGACTGATGAAACTGATCTACAAACCACCTACTGAGAAGCAGCTTGTGAGTATAATTGTTACCATGAGATTAAATAAATTTAAAAAATAATTCAATCAGTCTTAAGTCTGTAGGTATAAACCTATAATGTCAGCTCCTATGGAGGCTGAAGCAGGAGAGTCCCAAGTTCAAGACCAGCCTGGGCAATTTAATGAAACCCTGACTCAAACTAAAAAGTACAAAGAGGGCTGGGGATAGTGGGAATAGGTAGAGTGCTTGCCTTGCATATATGAGGTCATAAGTTCAATCTCTAGTACAACAATAAAATAATGAAATTAAATAAATAATATTTGTTTATTATGATTCAAATGATTCAAATGTATATTTGGAAAATAAAAATATCTCTCTTTTTTCATTAGACACTTTTAGGAAAGTTGTTGACCATTTTGGAAGATTGGACATTTTGGTCAATAATGCAGGTGTGAACAATGAGAAAAAATGGGAACAAACTCTACAGATTAATTTGGTAAGCTATATTAGGCGTGTTTAGTGCATAAAATGTTCAGTGCCACTTCTTTTTAAAGAAAAAAAGTTATGGGGCTGGTGAGATGGCTCAGCAGTTAAGAACACTCTTGCAGAAGACCCAGGTTCAAATCCCAGCACCCACATGGCAGCATACAACTGTCTGTAACTCCAGTTCCAGGGGATCTGACAGCCTCTTCTGTCCTCCACCAGCATTGCATGACACGGGTGCACTTACCTACATGCAGGCAATACATGCATACACATAAAATAAAAATAATGAAATTTTTTTTAATTTTAAAAGAGAAAAAGTTATTACACTCATAAAATAAAAACAATGGCAGTGCTGGAGAGATGGCTCAGCGGTTAAGAGCACTGACTGTTCTTGCAGAGGACCTGGATTCGATTCCCAGCACCCACAGAGCAGCTACAAACCGTCCTTAACTCCGCCTCCAGGGGAATCCGAAGCCCTCTTCTGACCTCTGCGCAATGCACGACATGGGTGCACTCACAGACATGCAGGCAATACACTCATACACATAAAATAAAAATAATAATAAAAAAATAATAAAAATAAAAATAATGGCTTACCATATGGAAAAAACTAGAAAATAATCTATTATGAATAGAAATATATTTAACACTTATAATTATGGAAATCTGTCTTAAATATTAAGAATACACCCAACCTGGTGGCACATGTCTTTAATCCACACACATGAGAGGCAGAGGCAGGCAGATATCTGTGAGATCTGAGATCCAGGTCAGCCTGGCCTACGTAGTGAGGTAAGGTCCAGGCCAGCTGTGGCTACAGGGAAACTCTGTATCAAAAATTAGAAATAAGAAAAAATGCCTGTCACTCATTTTTGCATGACTTACCTACAAGATAAAAATGATTTTTACATTTATAAGTGGTCAAATAAAATAATAATATGAAATACATGAATATATGAAATTGAAATTCCATATCTATAAAGTTTTATTGGAATACAGTCCCACAGTCATTAGTAGGTATTTTGTCTAGGTTTTATGTTATAATGACAGAACTGAATACTGTAACAAAAGCTTTATAGATTGTGATACTAAAATAGTCATTGTCTGGTCCTTTACAAAAGAGAATTGCCAAACCTACATCTACAGGCCTGGCATGGTGGCAAATGCCTTTGATCCCAGCACTTGGGAGGCAGAGGCAGTTGGATCTCTGTGAGTTCAAGGCCAGCCTGGTCTACTTAGTGAGTTCCAAGACAGCTAGGGTTACAGGGAGACCCCATCACAAAAAGACAATAAATAAATAAATAAATAAATAAATAAAACCTTAAATTATGGAAATACATTAGAAAACAAGGTCAAAGAGAAAACTTAACTTTGTAGTTAGTAACATTTTTTTATCCCCAAACTCAGGATGTATGTTTGAGTAATTTCCAAACATTTGATGACTATTTATCACTGAAGTAAATTATAAGTAAATAGTAAATTATAAGTAAAATAGAACACTGGAGCTTTCAGTTTATCTATTACATCACAAGATGGTTGATTATTATAGTCTATGAACACCCTCAACACAGAGCTATTGAGGTTTAATTAAACCCGTATTCTTCTCTAGAACTGCAAGAAAAGAAGAGCAAAAATTAAAAACAAAACACAAAAAGTCTCTAGCTAAACAGAATGTCAGATGATTTTACATTGGGCCACCCTGCCCTGCTTCTAGTTGTTCTTAGGAGTTTACAAGTCAGCCAAGTGTCAAGTAGAATGTGGCTGTTCCAAGTGTGTGAGTGTACGGTAGTGGTCTCCTGCTTTGCGACTGTCTTCTTAGGGTATTATAAGCTTAAAAACAGGAACTAGCCTGGTGTGGTGGCACATGGCTTTAATCCCAGAACTCAAGAGGTAGAACTAGGAAGATCTCTGTGAAATAGAGGGCATTCTTAACAAAAAAAATATAATAAAAAAGGAACTAGTTGGGACTGGAAAGATGGCTCAGCAGTTAAGAGTACTTGCTGCTCTTACAGAGGACCCATTTTAATCATCTCTATCTCCAGTTCCAGGATATCTGAACCCTCTGGCCTCTAAAGGTACCAGATACTCACATGGTACACATATTTCATGCAAGCAAACACTCAAATATGTGAAATAAAAATAAATAAATCTTTTAAAAATAGGAACTGATTATGGTTTTCTCTGTTCCTCAGTGATCAGTACAATATCTTGAAATACAGTGCTCAGACAATACATTTTTGACACAAATTGAAATCCCCACAACTATTTATCTACCTATAATTCATTGGTAGAGATAATAAGAATTATACTACCACATGACAGAGATGAATGGTTAAACTTCACTTTGATAAAGCCACAAAGTTCTCCCAAAATTTGATGTATTCCTAAATTCCTTTAATCAAGACCCAAAGATGATATTTTGTACTAAAAACAATTTGTATGCCTTTCTTCTTAGAAATTGTTTCCAGTTTTCCTGGTTCATTATATTTGGAAAAATAACTTTCAAATTTATTTGTTAAATTTCCCACAAAATCTTTCTATAATTCCAACTTTAAATATTTTACATGCAAATACACACACACACGTGTGTGTGTGTGTGTGTGTGTGTGTGTGTGTGTGTGTGTGTGTGTGTCTGGAGAGGCCTATTGGTTCATTTTCCACAATATCACTTTCCAACACCACATAAAGTCACAAGGCTAGCTATTTCTATGAGAAAACACAAACAGAATAGCAACTTTTTTAACATTACTAGCATTTTTAAAAATTTTATCAGCAATACAACAACTGATATTATCAATGAATGCCACTGGAGAGTGTAGATCTATTTTCAGTGTGTTCATGAGGGACAGCTAGTGTGTCTTCATCTGAGAAAACAACTGTCATAAAATGCACAATAACAGTACGTGCTTTGTAGGACATGAAAATGGTGAGGCTGTGGTCACAAAGCAGCAGGGTTTAAATAATTTTTCAGCATGAAGGCATATTTGCTTTAATGCAAACTGTCTAATTACACCTGCTGCAAGCTGTAAATAGGAAATTCTAGAAGACCAAGGGGATTTGGTCATAACCCTTTAGCTACAACTAACTTCTGAATTCTTTCACATTGAAATTTAGCCATTTTTCTGAATTTTTCTTGGGACTTGTGACATAAGCAATTTCTTAACTTAATTTCAGATATTGTTCCCATGACCTTTGTTGGTGTGTATAGATCTTAAGAATTGGCTACTTCTCCTCCTACCTATACCCACTGGAAAGGCAAATTAGCTTGATTGATCCCTGTGTTTCTAACTTGATCATCTCTGCTAACACAGTGAAAATATGTATTTGTAGTTCATATAATCCCTTTTTTTAAACTTCTGTTTTGACTCAGGGCATGATGATGGCACATGTCTTTAATTCCAGCACTTAGGAGGCAGAGGCAGGCAGATCTCTGTGAGATGGAGGCCAGCTTGGGCCACATAGTGACTTTCAGGCATGCTGGTACTAGGGAGATCCTGTCAAAAGAAAAATCTGTTTTTAATGTGCTGGATACAATTTGTTGCATTGGTCTTAGGCAAGTCCATATTCATCTTTTTGAATAATTTTCCACATTAATGTCCATATCAGAGAGTAACTTCTGAGTTAAAGAACTTCATCATATATCTCCTTCCTCCTCCTCCTCCTCCTCCTCCTGGGCCGGGCCGTTCCCCTCCCCGCGGCCGCCTCCTCCTGGGCTGGGCCCGCGGTGTCTCGTCCCCTCGCGGAGCCGCTCCTGCCGCCGCCGCCGCCTCCTCATTCATCCTCGTGCACCATAGGCCCTCCTTCTTCTCATCTTTGTGCTGAGGATTGAAATCAAGGCTCATGTATACTAAACCGGCATTCTACCACATACAATATTTTCCCGCCATTCTCATAAAACTTTACAGTCTAAAATTCTATTGGAATATTTTTAGGTGTGTAACCTATGCTAGCAGAACATAAAACCTTTGAGGGCAGAAGGCTACTTTTTGTGTCCTTACACAGTAGAAGTTCAGTTACTTTGTAATAGATGAACTGCCATTCTATGATAGTTTTGTAGCTCTGTGTTCTAGTGCAGTGTTTACACATTTTTCCAGTCTCATGTGTCCTTCCACTTTCGTTGATTACCACAATTACCCCTTCCTTATTTCACCCTGCTGATCTCATCAGTCTTCCTATATAAAAATGCTCCCAAGCTTTTCCCAATCTATTGTTTCACAAGACAGTTCTGTGGTTCCTTCTTTATCTGAAGGCTGCAGCTGTGCTATTTGCGGCTCCTCAGAGTTCAACAAGAATGTTCAGGAAAGAAAGAGTCTGAAAACTCACAGGTCATTCTGGCAATAGGGAAGAGGTCAGCTTAACTTTGAATATTGGTAAAATAATTTTAAAATCTGATTCTTTTAATTTTTCACTATTTAATAAACATAAATCTTATCCCCATGCAGGTTACATTACAATTTAATTTGAATATATAATTATAATAAATTGAATCCTTTAGTATATTCAAGTAACAGCTTAACTAAGCAGAAAGCTGTTGCTGATGATTTTCTTTCCAGAAAAACTAGTGGACTAAAGATTTGCTCTGGAAAAGGTATACTTTTGGAATTGGTCAAAACTAAAGTTCAGTCCTGAGTCTAATAATTTGCTTAATATTTGCTTACTTTCTCTGATCTTAAACTTCCCAGCTTGTGAAAGGGAGAAGTTAAACACCCTACCTCTGAGAACCATTAAGTTTAAATAGATTCCAGTCTACATGAAAATTGTAGCACAGTGTTTCTGTATAGAGGATAGGTAAATCGCATTTCCCTTCTAGGTGTCAGAATATACATTTGTGCACTATTTCCTTTCCATATGAAGTGGATTCCTCTTCCTTGCTGTATCTCTAACAAAGAGTTGAGAAAATAAATAGAAGCATTACCTCCTCTCTTTTTTAGTTTTAGAGAGACATTTCTTATAGATTCATGGGTGGGAACTTAGAAATAAAAGTCATGCCATTTGTGTTAAGCTTGTACAAAGGACAGCCATATGGCTGGCAAGCAGGCACACAGGGGAAAGAGAAGCATTAGAGAAAGTGTGACAAAGCTCAAAGTACCAGTGAAAGCAAACTCGGGCTCTGAACAGCATCCAAAAGAAGAAAAGAAAAAGGAAAGCTATGCTTTCAAAAATCATGACTCAGAAAAGTGGGTAGACCCAACTGAGCCTCATGATGTCTTCTAGACTGCATCAAAAGATGTGAATTTTGAGAAAGAAAAGTATATTTTTTCATTAAAGGGCTAATTACCCCCTCCTAACTCTTCAGGATGGCTTAAAGAGGAATCTAGCCACCAGGGAAATGCAAAGGAAAACTACACCAAGATTCCATTTCACAGTAGTCAGAATGACTGTCATAAAGAAAGCAAACAAAAAATATTTACAAGGATGTGGGGAAAAGGGAACCCTTATACACTGCGGGTAAGAATGTACATTCATCTAGCCACTGTGGAAATCAGTATGAAGATTCCTCAAAAAAACAAAAATAGACCTACCTATACCACTTCTGGGTAGATAGTCAAAGTGCTCTAAGTCAACGTACCTTACATGCCTTGGAGTTGCCTTTCCATGTTTACATGGAATATTCACAATAGCCAAGTTAATCAGCGTAGTTGACTATCAGCAGAAGAATGAATAAAGAAAAGTTGGTGTTACAGAAAAACAATGCATTTAGTCTTAAAGAAGAACGAAATGTCATTTGAAGGAAAATGGATGCAACTGGAAATCCTCACATTGAGGAAAATAAGTCAGACTCAGAAAGACTAATATCATGTTTTCTCTTATTTGTGAATCTTAGGTTTTACACACACACACACACACAGAGAGAGAGAGAGAGAGAGAGAGAGAGAGAGAGAGAGAGAGAGACATACAATGATATAATGAGACATGACACATGAAAGCAGAAGGGAGACTAAGAGGAGAGAAGATTAAAAGAAGAGGGAGACAGGGAGGGTGGAGAGTATGAAAGGGGTTGAAATACATGATACACCTGAAAGAAATTGTCCTTATTAATATACACCAAAAAATAATAAAATTTAAAATTAGATTTTAAAAGCAAACCAGACAGTGAAAACCGTGTAGAAATCAAGTCTATCCACTATTCTGCATTCCAGGAACCATGAAAATTATACCATCTAAACGAATGTGAACTATTTTGATATCAGAACAATGTGCTGGAAAGAGAATGGTTTGTGTTCAATATTAAGAAAAGAAAAAAGAATGAATAGAATTATAGAAGATTGTTAAGAGGGGAATTAAAGTAGCAAACATTATTAGAATGAAGCTTTATTGTAAAAATATAATTTGGGGCAGCTAAGTTAAGTGAAATTATATAGACATATGAAAGTAGCATAATGGTAGGCAGGCAAAAAGAAAATTGAGGATAATTTTTTAAAACTTAGAGCTTACAAAAACTTTCACTGATAATACTTTCAGATATCCCTAGAGATCTGAATTAGCAATAATGTCTTAGTGTGTGGGCCTATGATAAAAACTCATGCCTATATCACATTTCAATTTATGCTTCTGGATTAGGTTTCCGTTATCAGTGGAACGTACCTTGGTTTGGATTACATGAGTAAACAACATGGAGGTGAAGGTGGCGTCATTATCAATATGTCCTCCATAGCAGGTAAGAACAATTCCCATTTTAACAGTAACGTTTTCTTATTGGGACTTTGGTCACAAAAGTAAATCTTTGAGGCATATGAATCATCGGAGTAGGATCAAAATTAAAATTTTGGTTTCTTGATTTTCTTGGTGGTTCTTTGGATTTTTCTATCCTGTAATACAAAAACAGAATGGTATGCTTAACCTACTTCTTTTTAAAGTTACCTTACTTAAATATTACTTTTATGAGTGTGTGTGTATGTGTGGGTGTGTATGTGTCTGTGTGTTCCAAGTTACTGTGTTTCAAAGGTTATTTTGATACTTCCAAACAGTAAAGAATGTGAAAGAACCTTTGACAAAATTAAAAAAAAATACTAACATGCTATAAAGCCGTCTTTATTCCCTTGTGACTTCTTAGCAAAAGGGTATAAATTGAAAAGATTACCCATATACTAGTTGGTATACAATAAGCTGTTAGAACCAATAGATCCAAACCTGCCATAGTTAAATACAGAATATATTTTTTTTACAACACCTGTGCATTGCCTACAGCAGATTTTTTTGCAAATTACCTATTCTATATGCAATAACTTGGAAAGGTAGCTTACAGAAGGTCTGTGCTCTCAACATGGAGCTTCTAGGGTTGCTCTGCAGTGAGTGGACTGCCTTCTGTCCAACAGAAGGAAGAAAGAAACATGGCAGTCACAGTTGGTCTTTCAACCGCCCATCCCAGCATTGGCAGACTTTATTCTGCTCATGCCCCAGTGTAGAATTTGATCTCATTAGTCACCTAACTACATGCAAATCTGGTTATTGTAGTTATACATGTAAGAAAATAATGAACTTCATTGGACAGCTGGTCTTTTTGTCACACCAAAGATTGATGGATTGAGACTGTACAAGCAATCCAAAACTATTTTCATTCAGATAAAATTATTTAATATCAACTAATACCTTATTCTTCAATGATTGTGACAAACTTCTGATAAGACTATTTCGAGCAACTTAGTTAAGGCATTATGCTTTTAAAACTTCAGGAAGAGTTGAATGTGTTTGTGCATACCTTTAATACCAGCACTTTGGGATGCTAAGGTGGGAGGAAGGCGGGAAGATTGTGAGTTGGAGGCCAGTCCAGCCACCAGTAACACCCCTGTCTCAAATGAACAAGAAAACAAACAACAAAAGCTTCTAAGAAAAATTTGCCAATGAGTCCTGAAGGGTGCAAATGGAATCATAGCCGATAAGGGGAATGATCAGTATTGGTAACAAATTTAAACTATTTCTAAAAATTAGAGAGATCTTAACTAATTGTTGATCTCAGTGTAGTCTTTTCAAGATGGAAATTGACATTCCATACACAATCACACCGATACAATCACAGAGTTGTTCTTTGCGTTTCCAGTAGTATCTGGGGAGTCAGGAGTGGTCAGCAGTAGTATTTGGAGGTACCTGTGACAGAATCAGCATTTTGTCTAGGAATCATCATCAAATGATCCTTAAGCCAACATAAAGCTGCCACTCAAGGAGACTTAAAAATCTCCTTCACTATGGCTTTTTGAAAAACTACACTAACATCTCATTTTCTGAGTTGCTTAAAGTCAAAATGACATCCCTTAACATGATTATAAACCCAGTTCTGTAAATCATTAAGGGTGGTTGGGTTACTTTTCCTTATAGGGCATCTGTATCTACTTATAAACTATAACACTTCAATTCTAAGGATACATTAAGAGGAGACATACTGAAGGTGGTGTGTGCTATAAGGAGAAATGATAACTTTCATGGAGGCTTAAAAAACAAAGACAAACTGGCAAAGCTGTTTGAACAATTTTGAGGAAAAAATTATAGAAAATTATCTAAACAGTGAATTAAAAAGAGATATTTACTCTTTTCTTAAAACTTCAACTGTATGAAACCTGGGGCTATGATCAGGATATAGAGCCACATTGGACCTGATAGGCAGGCCTATGACCTTAGCTACTCAGAGTCTGTCACAGAAGGATCACAAGATCAAGTCCTGCCTGGGCTAAGAAAAGTTCTAGAATAGCCTAGGTAAGTGAGGCCCTGTACCAAATTTTATTTTAGAAGAGGGAGGATAGGTGATGAAGAGGTTACTCAGTAGTTAAGAGCACTGGCTGCTCTTGCAGAAGACCAGAGTGGTTCCCAGCATTCACATGAGGCAACTCACAACCACTTATAACTCCAGCTCCAAGAGATCTGATGCTCTATCCTCCGTGGACCCTTGAACACATGCACACATCCACACACACACACATGCACATATGCCTACCCCACACACATACGCATTAATAAAAACAAGTCTTTATAATGACTGAATGGATGGATGAAGAAATAGATGATAGATGATAGATAGATGATGATGATGATAGATAGATAGATAGATGATAGATAGATGATAGATGATTGATAGATAGATAGATGATAGATATAAATAGATGATAGATAGATAGATAGATAGATAGATAGATAGATAGATAGATAGATAGATAGATGATAGATGAGAGAAAGGGTCTAGGGTTATAGTTCAGTGGTAGAGTGTTTACCTAGCATCCTTCATATGGGGGGGTAAGGAAAGGGGGAGAGAAGAAAGAGAGAACTCTATGGATTCTCTATAAACCTAAGCAAATCAGCAAAGCCTGGAGAACTGAGAACATTGTGCAAAGATATGCAGAGATCCCTTTCTCTTTATAGTACTGAAGATATTGGGTACCTTCTAAGGAAGCCTGGAAAGGCTAGATCAATTTAGCACTCACTGACAGAGATTCTGAGCCATATAAAGAGGTTTAATTGCCTAAAAGGGCAGGGGTAGAGAACTATAAGGTAATACTACTGACTTTTATCCATTTAAAATATTTCAATATACAATAGCAATACATATTGAGTACTTGTTCTTTACTCTTGTATAAGTGAGCCCTTATATCACTATAATGGACTAACTGAGATAATTAACTTAAAAAGAAAAAGACTCAAAAAAAAAAAAAAAAAGCAGAAACATAGTTTCATCCAAGTTCATCACATATGGGCTTTGGGCCTCTTTCGAGGGCAGCACATTGTGGGAGGTATGTTGTTGATCAGACCACTAACATCACAAGCTAGAACACCAAAGAAAAAGGGAACCAGTAGAGTCCTAAGTCTCCTTCCCATCATGTCTCCAGAGACCCAAGAACCTCTTCTAAGTTCTCACTTCCTGAAGGTTTCACTGCCTCTCAGTGGTGCCACTCTGGGGACCAGGTCCTTAACACATAAACCCGTAGAAAACATTGGCCATCAGACAACAACAACTTGGTGTCATCTTAAACATTGTTTTTTTCTTTTAATTTTCATCAAACCCTGTGAGGGAGGTTCTAAAATCTTTGAAATTCAGGCCAGAAAGGTAGGGAACTCAAGTGCCCTGACCCAGTCTCTGCAGTCAGTGAGCAACAGTGCTGGAATACACACTTAAAGTCTAATGTAAATCGTGTTAAATTCTAAACTTCCACTATCTACCTCATCTGGGTGTTAATTTATGAGTCTTCTTTGCTATCCAAGTTTATCAGCCTAAATGAAAGTAAAAGAAATTGAAATCCTGCCTTGAGTAAATCTGTTCAATTTGTTGATGTCTTCAGGGCTCATGGCAGGACTATAATCTCAAGGCTGTTGCTAGCACTTCAGTGAAAGTTCATCTTTAACTCCTTTGAGACATACACTGGAGAGCTTATCAGGATCACAAGTTAAAACACATCATGGAGAAGAGACATTTGAGGCCCACAATTTGATATTCATTTTGCTTTCTTGGCCAAGAATTAGTATCATCATATCACTCACCCTTGGGTTTAATTATTTTCTTATCAATTCCATACACAAGATTTGGAACTGTCTGTGAATCTTTGTTCATGCAGATGAAACAATGAATTATTATAAATTCAGTGATAAGATTGTTTTCATTTTAAACTATCTTTCTGGCACTATTACCATTTAATGATTAGTTCATTGTTATTACTGTTGTTCTAAACTGCTTTCCCCTTTGATTTTCATCCTAACATGCAAGACAACCCCATTTGAACTAACTAAGCTATTTAAGTTTATCTTTGTTACTCTGGTGTATAACCCTCTCTAGTTTGTACTTGGCACACTTCCTAAAGGAGCTTCCATATGACCTAGGACGTGTGTTCTCTTCACCTTGTTCTCGATAGCCAATCTCCTGGCACCTCTCCCCATGCCCCAGGGATTTCATTAGCATGCTTCATTGCAAATAGTTTTATATTTTATCCAATAGTATCAATTTTCACATAGTAAATTAATTTGATAAAAATTATGACTATAATCCCAAAACCCGAGAGAATAAAACAGGAAGATCACTAGTTTGAGGCCAGCCTGGGCTATACAGCACTGTCTCAAAAAATAAAGGATTAAGCATGTG